GAGCCGGTGAGATTTGAACAGTCGAACTGCAGAACTGCAGTCAGCTGAAGTAGCCTGCAGTGCTGCATTTAACCACTGCGCCACCTCGGCTCTAATCAGCAAGCACCAGGACAGGATTAAATTAAATTAAATTCAACAGTGAGCTTCTAATTTTTATGAATGTTATTCTAATTTTATTAGAATCCATATGCAGGTGGATTTAAGGGGCTCCCTCTGGTAAGGGGGAAAATCCAACATTAGATATTATGTTTGTTCCGGACATTTTCATCAAGGCTTTGATTATTTTGATGACAAATGTATGGCCATGATCAATAAGATATCACTTTCCTTGATGCTTCTGGGTACACAGGGACAACATTTGTAACTAATTTACTTGTTGCTGAAATCAGGGTTTGGTTCTTACTGCTTTGCAAATTACTCACTTGCTTTGCGACTAGGTGTGTAATTCTGATGGAAGCTAATCTATACACAATAACGCTTTTCTTCTTCCTTTCTCTCCCTCCCTCCCCCAGTCCATTCTTAATCTTCCAGATGGCTCCAGTTGTATTTTGGAAGAGTCACAGTTCCTGCCTAGTGGTGGGGATTCTTTAAAATTGCTACAGCTTCATGATGAAATTGAACGTATGGTAGGTAGGCCTGTTCCTGGCTTAGTAGAAATTATTCTCAATCATTCCATTCGCGAGATCTACAAACATGTCCTCAAATCAGCTTTTCCAAGGGACAACCTCGCTATAAGCAGCCACAGTGTTGTAAAAAGGAAACTGAGTGACCCTCCCGGTGAAGAACCGAACAATAAGTGTGTGGAGCTCTCCCCGGAAAATCCGCTGAAAACTGACGTGGCCACCATAGGTTTTATTGCCATAAGTCGAGGAAACCACCTGGTGTCTCTCGAAGGGGCTTTGAAGAGCCAGATTGAAGCGGAACAAGCAGAAAAGAGTGAAGTGTTGCCGAATAGCGACACAAATGTAAATATAGCAGAAGATTATTCTGCGGAAGGAAATTTGGGTGAAGGAAATCTTGGCGAAATTACCCAAAAGCTGACGCTACGTGTAAGATGGACCTCGGACCTTGGGAAGTGTGTGGATGCCTCTCCGCTAGTTGTAATCCCGCTTCCTGACAAATCATCTGCTCTTGTTTATATCGGATCTCATTCTCATACGATTCAAGCGATTGGCTTATATTCAGGCAAAGTGAAGTGGACAAGAAGGCTCGCAGACCGCATCGAGTCCTCCGCGTGCGTATCTAAGTGTGGAAACTTCATTGTTGTTGGTAAGCATTCAGAATCAGGGATGAGCTGCTCCGGGTTCGCCTGGGTTCAGGTGATCCTCTAGCAAAGATTCTGCGCGGTGTGGCGGAACTCCCAAATCCCACTTCTGCCTGGCCCCGCCCACCCTCCCCTCACAGGTCTCCACGCGGCCCGTTTTGGATGCCAGATAAGTGCATGGCCTGCACGGAAGCTCAGGAAGGGCAAAAGGGGGGCTCCCAGAGGCGCCGGAAGGCCAGAAATGGGCCCGAGGAAGTCTCGGGGAGAGCAAAAAATGGGCCTCCCCACTGGGTTGCAGGAAGCTAACTAGGCCATGCCCACCATAGCCACACCCACTCAGGAACCGGGCAGAGAACCCGCTGCTAAAGTTTTTGAAGCCCACCCCTGTTCAGAAACCTTGATAGTTATCAGTGGGAAATACCATCAAACAATAATATATATTTGTAACATAAAATGCAATGAACAGTGTTGCAGGATCGAATATGGGTTGGTCACCAGGACTAGAGATTTAGTCTTCAGAGCTTCCGGTCATGTTCTGGAGCCCATCCTCAGGAAATATGAGCCGAGGTGGCGCAGTGGTTAGGGTGCAGTACTGCAGGCCACTTCAGCTGACTGTTATCTGCAGTTCAGCGGTTCTAATCTCACCGGCT